ATGCGTTTGTGACAACGTGAACATGTGGAGGTATTTTCCTAGGTTAACCATGATAGTTTTTTGGGTTGAAAGAGTTGTGGTTGTTTTTATCTTTAATCAGCACTATTAATGGAATATCTCCTGGATTGGTATCCCCCGGATGTAGATTGGTTGATAATCGAACCGGGTCAACAAACACCTTGTCTCATTGTTTTTATGTTATGCATTTTCTTTCGTTGTTAAAATGTTGTTATAACTGTGAACCGCCCACGCTTCGAGAGTTGGCCCTTTAAAGTGTTCGAATGTGTTTTGTTCGATAAATTCAACATCTGGTTTCAGAGCAGTGTTCTCTAAATCGTTGAGTAGTTTCGTTTACAGTTACAAAAATGAGCAAAGAAGGTGGTTCAACCTCTCGACGTCTTTTATTCGATGGAACAAACTATTTGAGTGTGGATGACATGCAACCGATTGAATCTGATGAGGATATGGCTCTGCTAAGTTGTAAAATTTCTTAAATGATTAGTGAGAAAAGAGCATCCAAGCTGAAGTGTGAGAAATTCCATAATAGAAGTGGTTATCAGGGAGTGAATACATCCACTTCACAACGAAAATACCCTGAGCAGAAACCAAATGCTTACAACAAACCGAAAGAAAATTTTGATGGTGGATTCAAGAAGAAGTTTGTGGTGTCTGCAAAACCTGAGACGATTCAAAAACCTACCTGCTATGGTTGTGGTGGTGTTGGCCAGGTTAAATTCGAATGTCAATAGTAAAGAAAATAGAGAAAAAACATATCAAACAATATGGAGTAACAATGATAAAAAGGAAACTGTATGTGTCAAGGAGCAAGCTGAAAAAGATGAAATTGTGGCTTTCATGGCTGATGTTGAAGAAAACAGTAAAGAAAAGGATGTCTCTGCTACATAAACTACCGAGGAGTCAAAGGAACTTGATGTTGATGAGTTGATCGAAGCCTATGAGGAGATGGTAACTGAACAAAAGAAAGTTGTGGTGAAAAAAAAAAGAATTGATGGAAAAAATATATTGTCTTGAGGATAAAAAAGAAAAGCTTGAGGATGAACTGAAAAAATTGAGGAAGATTGCTGATGAAAAATGTGTTGAATCAGAGAAACTAAAGTCTAAGAATCAGAGGTTAAAAGAGGAAAATGACAGATTTCGAAAAGGAAAAGAGACATTGGATGAAGTACTTTCAATTGAAAAACTTTTTGGTGATCACAAAGGAGTTGGATTTTGTGAATCTTCACATAGCAAACCCATTATATTTGTGTGGGGTGATCTACTGACTGATGTTAAAATTCCAGAGAAGAAATCAGCACCGGCTAAGAAACAGAACTCAAAGAAAAGAAGAAATAGAAATTGAGAGAAAAATCATAGAAGAATAGAGAGTGCTAAATTGTCGTCATCAAGACATAACGACTGCGGATATTGCAAATGCCTTGGTCATGCAGCTGAAAAAATGTTTTCGATTAGCAAATGATATAATGAATGGAAGAAACATTCGATGACCTACAAAAGGACTGAAGAAAACTGTTACATTCAGATTGGTGTGGATGCCCAAAGAAAATCAAAATGCAAATATTCTTACGAAGGTGTTGATGCGAATCGATTTGAGAAGTTTTAACGTCATTTGGGTATGCATTCGTACCCTACTTGATTTTGCATGCATGAGCTTAATAAATTCTTCAATATATTTATGTTGATTGGGATATTCTTGATGAATATTGGAGAATGAAAATAATTTGGAAAGATTGTTTTTGAAAAATCCAAAAAGAATAAGTGTTGTGAAAAGATTTGATTGAGCAATAGTGAGAATCAAATTTGATGCTTATTTTAGCGGAATGGAGAGTGATCATGGTTGATGTTTTGGTTGTGGATTAATTCGACGTGGAGGACATTTCAGTCCTACAATGGATTTTAAAGGATTTTCAGACCTTGTGATGTTGTTGTTGCTGGAAGAATTGTTATTGATGTTGCGAAGTTGTTGCTGCAACAAAACTGAGCTGAATCAACCTATGTTGCTATTGTTAATGCTGGTGCTGCTGCCAAATATTGATGTTGATGTTGTTGCTGCTGCCAAATGTTGATGTTGATGTTGTTGCTGCAACCATTTTTCAGCGGATCAAAGGAGAAAGAATTCATGAAAAGAGAACAAGTGAAATTGTTTGTGAAGCAACTGAAATTCTTGCTGATGATCTTGATGATATTAATGGAACAGTTGCTAGTGATGGTGATAAGGTTGATGCTGCAATCATTTATAGCAAATTGAAGGTATTTGTTCTTTTTGCCAGTTGCTCCCACGAAGGTGTAGTCATGCAGAAAAATGGGAGATCATATTTTTAGGGGGAGTTGCCCAAGTTCTGATGTTGTCTGCTTTGTTGATTGTTGATTTTATATGTTGTTGTTATTTCTGTTGAAAGTCTGAAGTGATTACAACCATATCATTGTAGAGGCTGCCTGTAGCCTATTTTATATTTCTGTTAGCATATAATATTTGGACTCACTTATGGATTGCTACTTGGATGATTGGGTGTATTAGTGGCCTAATTCCTGCACTTTGATTTCATGATTCCATATGCCAAAAAGGGGGAGAATGTGAATGAAAAAAAAAAAACCCCTTATTATTTTTGGCATATAGACAAATATGCTTTCTTCATGCTGCAGCAAGAGTTCTTTTTATAGTATTCGTAGGTTGCATATAGGCTGTCACTACAACCATGGTGCAATCTGAAACTGTGGGCTTAGCATTATCCATTGTGTCCAAACCTTTAAATACCTACAAAAGTCAAATATGACATTTTGGGGATGGTCAGACTCGTGAAGAATCATTGAAGAACACTTCATTTCATTTCATGTGAAGGGAAATTAATAAGGGGTTGTTCTTTCCAAGGTTACATGGTATATACAACCAAATGAGACAAAAAAATTTGGTGGTGATTGAGGTTTGAGAGCCAAAATTTAGAGAGAGAAATTATTGTGTGTGCTCTCACCCTTCTTCCCTATTTTCTCCATATTTTGAACTGTTGTTTAACACTAAAACCCACCGGAGAGGTCGACGGAGATCGGAGATAATGGAGTTCCAACTGGAGAAGATGATTAGGCTCTAAGTTGTTCTGTTGTATGGTTGTTGTCAGTACGCGTTTGTGACAATGTGAACCTGCGGAGGTATTTTCCTAGGTTAACCATGATAGAAGTGTGGGTAGAAAAAGTTGTGGTTGTCTTTGTTCTTAATCAGCATTGATTAGTGAAATTTCTCCTGGATTGGTATCCCTTGATGTAAATTTGTTGATAATCGAACCGGGTCAACAAACACATTGTCTCATTGTTGTTTTATGTTCTGCATTGTCTTTCGTTATTAAAACGTTGTTCCAACTATGAACCGCCGACGCTTAGGAAATTGGCCTTTAAAGTGTTCGAATGTGTTTTGTTTGATAAATCACTTTCCCAACAATAATTGACTCTTGTAGGCATTTAAAGTTTGGACACAATGAATAATGTCAAGCTCATAGATTCAGACTGCAGCACAGTTGTAGTGATAGTCTTGCTGCAATATCAGACTACTTGAAAAGGAAAACTTGCTGCAGGAAAAAGAAAAATATATTTATATTTGTCCACATGTCAAAAATAACAAGGGGTTTTTTTTTTTTAATTTACATTCTCTCCTTTTTTTGGCATATGGAACCATGAAATCAAAGTGCAGAAATTAGGCCACTCACACACTCAATCAATTCAAGTAGCAATACATGAGTGGGTCCAAATATTACATACCAACATAAATATAAAATAAGCTACAGACAACCTACACAATAATATCATTATAATCACTTGAGACTTCGAACATATATTAATAGTAATTATGTCTAAGACCTTAACCTATATTCAAACCAACTTGGAAATATTAGTTTTTTTTTATTGTATTTCTTATTGTTTTCTATGAAATAATATATATATATATATTTCACAAAATTTCATACTATTTAAATTAAAAATCAAATCACAGTCCAAATAAACAAATCCTCATCTCAAATAAAGTCATTGTAATCAATTATTTAATTATTAAATGTAACTAATAGATAAGTCTACCAAATAAGACATTGTCCAGAACATTAAACAAATTTCCACTACAATAGATTTGTAATCGGAAAAATATGTGTACGTTTTTGTTTATTTATATATTTTTAAATACAATATTGGCGTCCAAACCGATAAATAAGACAGTGATGTCTCCCTAATTTAATAAAAAGTTAACTTCATTTATTAAGGTGTATAATATGGTATGCGCATGTGTAATGCCTTTTAGATGTTTGGGTTTATTTATAAACATATTTTTAGTATATATATATATATATATTTTTTTTTTCAAAATACTTATATTTAATATTCTTTTATTTAAAAAAAAATCATATCAAGTAGAATATATTTTAATTTTGATTTTGGTTTTGAATTATAAATTTTTTCTATTAAATTTAAATTTAAATAATATTTTAATATGATATTTTATAAAATAAAAAAAGTAATATATTTTTTTAATTAAAAATTGCATATGAATTTTTAATTTGTAAAAAAAATATACACCCAAACCTTTAATTATTATAAGAAATATACAAAAGTAAAAAACTTTTAAAATTTCTTTTGAGTTTATTTTGATTGTTGTTTGAAATTTATTTGAAATGAAGTATTGATTTAAACTTTTCTTCAAAATATACATACATGAATAGTGGTGATTGACGTTTGAAATTATAATCAAACAAATGTTTTAATTAATGATTTATTTAATGCACTTTAAAAATGAAAATAAAGCACATTACTTCTATAATATTCGTATAAGCAAAAGTATGAAAGCAATTTTTTTTATTATTTTTTTTTCTAAGAGGATGGATTATACAATATATACTATATACGATATATAATAAAATTGTATTAAAATAATAAAGTACTATACATATTTCATTCTAAAAATAAAATAAAATAAAATTAGGTGAGAAATTAAAGCCTAGAATATGTCACATATTAACCCTAAATAGGCTCTCCTTATAAGCAACCATTTCCAATCTATTCCTCTTCCCATAAATCCCAAAATTGCTAATTTCTTGATCCCTAATTTTGAACACAACTAATTCTCCTTTACTACTTTCCAAGACCAACTCTTCATTGTTTTTCCAAAACCCTAAAGGCCTCTCTACATTAGAAATAGGGCCAACACTCGGCAACCTCGTCCAATCGTCGCGCCCTATCCCTACTTGGTTCGCTACCCAAATGTCGAAAACTTTGTCCGAATCTTTGAGGTTATAGACAAGCAAAGCAATGGATTCTTTGAGTGGCAAAATAGCCCTAGTAGTCCTATCTTGTCCTCCTAAGTCTTGGATGTTTAGAGGCAATGGTGTCTTTCTAAACACTTCATTCCTCATGTTGAACGACAAAATTATCTCGCTGTTGTTGTTGTTGTTGTTGTCGTCGTCTTGAGCCCACCAACAAAAGGTTTCGTCTTTGTACACCATGCTCCAAATATTGTAGTACATGATATTACCCGGGATATTGTGCTGGTATATTTTCCATGTGTTGGTTCTTGAGGAATATATTTCGACATGATAAGTTAGGTGATTATCAGAGGTTATGCAAAACAAGATTTGCATGACTTTTAGATCGCAAGTTGTGGGATCAAATCCGATTCCGAGATCTCCACCTCGTATTCTAGCATGAAGAGGGCGTAGCACATGCGATCGCGGCAATATTTTGAAATCATGAATGCTAGGGTTCCATAAAGCAATATGATCCGTGTATCCATACAAGCATATGATTCCATTACAAGGGCCAATCAATCTAACATGTCCGAATATGTCATTCAAGAACGATGTAGGCGGTTCTTGATTGACTAGTGTTGTGGTGTTATCGCCATTCCCATCATCATTTTCTAACAAAGATATGACTCGTCTATTCGTACCATCATCGCGCCTACTAATGAGCAGAGTTTCGAGATCCCGCTGTTTCAATAAGACATTTTTATAATGCCGCGAAACAAACATGAAATCCTTAACAATACTATGATTCCATGATGTACAAACGGATCGAAATCTAACCAACGATTTTACGGGCAATCTTGACAAGATCTCTAAAACCAAATCCTCCGGCAGCTTCATGATATCGATCTATATATCTCCCTCCCATTTAATTAATTAATTTATGACGACCTCTTCTCGTGCTCATCATGTCCTTTTAATTAGGGCCAAATCAATGTCCATTTTTTATTAGTTGGTGAATGGACAAGAAAACAAGAGTAGGAAACAAACCAACCAACCAACCAACTTGTAAATTAGAACCTTACATCTATTTGGGGTTGTAAGTGAATTTAGAGGTCTCCTACTTCTCCACATTTTTGGAACAACAACAATGGAATAAATACATGATAGATCGAAAGACAATTAATTGTGTGGCTAAGATTCCAACTTAATTTGGCCAAAATAATCAACAGCCAAGATTCGTGGGCATCATCACTAGCTAGGTACTAGCTAGCTTAATTAGCTCAAATCATATATATGTGACAATGATTTCTTGGTTTGATGCCAAAAAATAAAATAAAAATAAACATTAAAATTAGAAAACTATTGGCTCCCATGGATTTAATTTGACACGTGTTAGAATACAACGTAAAGAAACAAAAATTTAGTGAAAATATTTAAACTCTGCTATTTAAAATAAAAATAAAATTAAAGAATCATCATATAAACATTTTCTCAAAATTTAATTAATTCTGTACTCACACATGGCTTGTTTATTTACAATATAGTCATACGTCATTAAGTACATATATTGATATACATTATAAAGACTAAATATTTTTAACGTGTTATCTATAAATAAAAATGTAATTTTGGTTTTAAACCAAAGTCATCATTATTTTATTTGCACCGTGATTTTTAATAAAAAAAAAAAATATTTATTTTTTCTTACAAAATATTATATTAAAAATTATGTTTAAACTAAATTTAAATGAAACAAATTAAATTTAAACCAAAATCAAACAAATCATGTGTGTTGCTTTATATAAAATGATAAAATTTAAAGATTTATACTTACCAAATAAGAAAATAAAAAATATTTTCGAATATAGGAGATTCCGCCTCTAATATCAAATTAAATAACAATTTTATCTAAAAATTTAATTTTTTAGAGAAAACGCATCATTAATTATTATATAGTCAACAAATATTTGAGATGAAGCAAAATTAATAAGAGATTAGTATTTACGTATCCTCGAGTTCTTTTCACTCCTACTAACAATATATTTCTCGTCGTTACCTCCAAAGCAAGTTCCAACGATGAATCGAGAGCATTTATTAATGATGTTGGTTTGAGCTAATTCTCTTTCAGTCTATTGTAATTATATACACGATAATTCGTTGTTCAAAGATTTTACAAATATTGATAAATAACAACTATAACATTTGTCTATATATTGTCTATATATATTTTGGTATTATTTATAATCGCCAAATAATATTATAGGGTCTGTTTCTGTAACTAAATTTTCTCAAATTTTATTATTTAGACTATGTGATTTCCGAAAAAAAAAAATTAACTTTATTTTTTCTCACAAAATATCTCATCAAACATTATTTTAACATCAAACTCAAACCAAGTTTTTTCAAACTCAACCAAAAGAAACATGCCCTATTTTTTTACTAAAACAAATTTTCATTTAAAAAAAATATTCACTTCGTCCCAAATCAAATGGTCTTTCTGAAAGTTTTGTAGTATAGTAAAAAATAATAATATTTTATTACTTAGTAGAAATGTGTAAGAGTTTTTCACATTTTTACCCTTTGACTTTATAGTTTTTCACATTTTTATCCTTTGACTTTATGTACAAAGTAATTGTATGTGTAATGATATGTTTGTAATATAAATAAAAGTTAAGAATATTTTAGTATTGGTGTATGATTACTTTTTATAAAATAAGAAAGAAATCATTTGAAATGGGACAGATGAAAATGATACTTTGAATTTGGACGGAGAGAGTATTAAAATTGTCGAACTCTCGTAACTAAACATTTGTTTGATTTTGATTTGATTTTGGATATTTTATTCAATTTTTGTTTAAATAATATTTTAATGTGATATTTTAGGAGAAAAAATTACTCATCCACTTTTGTTCTTTTTATCTATCTCAAATACCTTCTAATATTTATAAAATAGAGAATAATCACTACAAAAAAATATCAATTTTGTAACAAAATTTTTTCGTTGTTAAATCCACTTTTTCTGTTACTAATGATATTAGAGACGGAATTTGAGATGGAATTACGTTAGCTACGTGAACTTTAGTAACGGAATTTCGTTACGAATAAACTATTTTTTTGTAGTGAATTAAATATATTTAATTTCTACACTACACTTTATTTAATCATATCACCCGAATAAAAAATAATAAATATATACTTCTCTCTCATTACATCATATCATTTCCAAATTATTATACTCCCTCCGTCCCATAACTAAATATTCATTTGTTTTTTGCACGTAATTTTAGAAATATTAGTATTATATTAAGATGTAGTATAAAGTAGAAATGACTAAAATAATCTTATTAGTATGTGTGATATAAAGGTAATGGCATTTGTGTAATATATTGTAAGTTGTAAGGGTATTTGTAATGTTAGGTAGATAGTACCGTTACTAAAAAAAATGGATACTTTGTTAACTAAAATGGAAAAATGGATATTTTGTTATGAGACGAACTAAAATAAAAAAAATGAATACTTTGTTATGAAACGGAGAGAGTACTTAATACTACACACTTAAATTCTTCGTGCCGAAAATATATATTGTGTCACGTTTGAGACAGAGAAAATATATGTTTTTTTTATTAAAAATTATACTAACAAAAGAATAATCATTTTGATTTAAAATTAAAATCAAACAAGCCCTAATTTTCAGTATTTTATATGTATTTTTTAATAGTAATTTTTTATATTATATATATACACATTAAAAAAAAAAAAAAAAACTAAATCTCGCCCGACCTATTTTTTTTGTTAAATTTATCAATCTTAAACATACTTAATAAATATAAATCAATTTAATTAAATTTCTAACATCTTACAAATAAAACCCACTCAAAATCCATTTATTTATACATTTCATCATTAACAAATTTTTGTCTACTTTTAAGACTCTCCATTTTTTAAAATAAAATTATATATAAATAAATATTTTTTTTATTTATTTGTATTATATAAAAGTTTATTTTTTACCAAAAAATGTTCATATTATATATATATTTGATTAAGATATAATGTTAAAAATATTTAAAATTACAACACTATTTATACAAAAAATAATAAAATAATATCATATTTTATTATTAATAATTTACTAATATACACAATCTAAAATACCTTATTTTTAACAAAAATGGTGAACTAACCCAGAACGGAGGAAGTCATAAAGAAGGTGTAGGGGTGAGCTCTGCCCTGATTTCTAGTGATCACCTCCAGGTAAATCGATCGGGAAACAAGGTTTGGTTCCTCTCATTACTAATTATTGACAATTATATCATTATTTAATATAAAAACTAGTCCCTTCGTCTCATATACCATGTAATACCCCAATTTTGGATTGTATAAAATAATAATATTATAGCAAATAAATATTTTTATAATATTTTGGAATCAATAAATTAATACTCTGGAATAAATTTTATTCCTATTTTATATATTGATTATGATTAAAAAAATTATTAAACAGATAAATATCGATAAAGATAAATATAAAATATAATATATATAATAATATAATAATAATAATAAAGGTAATGATGATGAAGATAATATTTATAATAATAATAATAATAATAATAACAACGTTAATAATAGTAATATAATATAATATAATATAATAAATATATATAATAATAATATAATTATATATATTTATACAAACTCAAACCTTACCTGCGAAGGACGACCAAGTAGAAGAACGCGAAGGAGAAAGAAGAGAAAAAAGAAAAGAAGAAAGAAAAAGATTTAGCCGTTCGATATCGATTCTGACTTCGGTATTGTATTTCTTGTTATACGTAGAATTTAATTATGGATTTTAATATGAATTTAGATATTGAAGATATTAAATTAGAAATTCTTAAAAAAACTCATAACTAGCTATTTGTCTATTTAATCGACGAATTTCTTTAGCTAATAGCCTATTCGTAGTCCTAGCATTATGTTCTGAGGAATTTCGTATCGATCCGAGTCGAATCGAAAACGGCAGTGTACTGCACCTGCATGTTTATTTATATCTTTAAGTAATTTTATTTAATAATCGGGCGATATAAATATTATGAGGTATAAGAGTTTTATAGCTAAAATATCGTAGTCTACTAAATATAAAAGTTAGAAACCCAACGAGCTAACTATAGAAATTAGCTTTTGAATAAGCAAGTAGCTCCTATAAATAAGCATATAGCTCAGTTGAATTGAGTAAATAATGGAACAAGTGTACGTTGGAAGAGATTTGGGTGAAATTGCGAAAGTTAGGGAGTGTCGACAAGAGATAAGCAGTAGGAATTAAATCTAATTTTAAGAAATTAGGTATGCATGTTGCATGCGATTCTGATTAATATGTTAACGTGATATTATGTGAATCATTTTGTTGGATGTATATATTTATATATATATATGTGTGTGCGTATGCATGTGGGAGAATATACGTATTTGATCGCGTTGGTGAATTTATGAGAAGGAGGATAGGTGAGCTGTCTCACCAGCCCTTTTCGGTAAATTCACTTATTTGGCATGTTGCACACATATTGCACGGTTTATCAGATGTGTTTTATGGATCTATCGTCTAGTCGTTGTGTGCGGTAGTGCTAGGCGAGGGCATCATCTGGGGTTAGGATATTTGACCCCGATGTACCGTAACACTTTGGCGATAGTGAACGATAGTAGTCGGACAACTGGGTGACCTAGTCGCACGGTCATTCAGGGATTAGACCCATTGTAGTTGAGACGTATTTGGTCTAATCATTCGTGTTCGGTGTTGTTCCACTCATTGGACTGATCACTAGTGAGGTCTACCGGTAGTTTAGGATCATATGCCAAACTCCAAAAGTGATCCCGTTAGGGCGCGCGAGGAGGAGTAGAGT